GAAGGCTTCAGGTGTTTGACCACCATTGCCTTCCTAGTATAGGCCGTATTACGTGGTGTCACCACGTGAGTAACGCAATAGTCAGGCATAGAGTTCTAGGGAGAAGAGATAAGTCAGTTTTACATTGTTATGAACTTACATCGATTGAGATGGTTGAGACTAGTGTTAGTTATGCCTAGTCACCGATTGCCTCATCACACAATGCTGGTCGAAGTAGGTCCAGATTGGAAAATGCTTGAGGTAGCCATACTAAAGCATGGCATCAATGTATGAAGTCTATGACTGTTGGTTTGAGCCATGTGGGGCAATGCAGACTAGGTGGTTGAGATCCACGGGACAAGAGGAACGAGTGGTTGGAGACTGATTCTAGGTGATATGGCTGAGAACGGATGTCGGTGGCACAGATGTATCCTCACACACATTATCCTCATCTTAACAACGCTATACTGAATCTCACCACTGTGTCATTCTTGCTTTCTTTCTTCTCATACTTTATATTTGCTTTGAGTGGCTTTTCTTATCTTCATGTTGCACCTCATTACTTTTCTATTTGATGTACTGATATGAGGTATGGTGGCAACTCGGAGCGTTACACAGTAATGCCTGGTCCTATGTTGATATTGATTCTGTTGGAAAACTTTCAATGTTTCTGATTCACTTATGTTATAGTGTGGTTTTTGATTGTCAAATTCACTGCCTAGTCATTCTTTGTAATCCAGATGTTAGCTCCATGTTATTGAAAGTGAATATTGCTTTGTCATCGATAAAACTATTGTACTTAAGAAATTCACTGAATATTATAATACAGGAAGTAGAATAAAATTCTGACAGTAGTTAACTAAGAAACGAAACTCTAACATCAGACTTATTTACTGTTGACAAATAAGGCAATAAGAGTTTTCTATCAAGTAGTGGCATTTAGTGATGGTGGTGGTGGTTGTCGTGGTAATTAGTTCTGAGTTCGAGTCCTGGTAGGGACAACACCATATCCACTCCAAAGCGGATACATCTAGGTGACCAGTCCTAAATAGGTTGAAATGTGTGTTCTAGATTCCATTCTCGACCAATAAACATCCTTAAAATCGAACTAAAAATACCAACTGTATTAAAGTATCCGCACAAATGTCATATACTAATAGTATCCGGTGAATTCATTCCAGTTGACGAATGGAGATTACAACCTATACTATCCAAACTATACTATGACCATCGTGACTTAGTAGCCTTGTGGTTAACACTTTAATATTTGAATTAATCGATGCCAGGGAAAAAAATCATTGACTATGAGGCAGTTACATCCAGCTGACGAGTCTATTTAGATGGAATTCTAACCCAAAATGAGTATTTTCACTGTATTAGCTTTCAAAATATGATTATAAGCAAGGTAGAAACCCAATAAGTTAATTAATCGTCATTGGATACATGCATTTCTTCAATATATTCATAATTCTCATTGTGACATCAACAAGAAAATATTCAGGGAAGAGAACTCTTTTCAACGAGTTTATTCTCCAACTGTACATTCCTATCTAATATATATGCATGATATTTAAAGATTATAATTCATGAGGAAGATTTATACTGGGTAATGGTTGAAGGTAAAATGAAAATTTGAACTGTAGCCGAATTCGAATCAGTGACCATCGGGTTTCCGGCCCGATGCTCTACTAACTGAGTTACGAGGTCGAAATTTGGACTGCGACCGTTTGTGTAAAAAAAAAGACATGGTAGAATTTCAAAAAGAAAGAAATCTTAAGAGATTTGGACGAATTTGATAAATAATTTTAAAATCATTGTCTGGGTTTGTTAAGTGATGGAAACCAATCAACTTTATGAAAGGAATCTGGAACATGTCCTCGTATACGTGTACAAAGCATTCTCTGGCTAGGCTAATGTATCTTGCTTCATAAGAGCAGGTGAACTGGTTGACACATATATATCATGATCCATATTATGAAAATTAATCAATAGAACTTTCTTTGCACCAAGACTTCAACTGATTTTTACAAGCTATAAAGTATTTTCCGTTTGTGTTAAAGATTCCTTGTCTGGCGGCTTATGTATGCATCTACCAGTTCATTTGCTCCTCTACAGCTAGGTATATCAGTCGTAGCCTTAGAATGATATCTACATGTACACGAGAAAATGTTCCAGTTCGGTTTTATAAAGATGAAAGAAAGTCTTTTAGAAGTTTGATCATAGAATATTTGATTGATTTCCATTACTCAACAAATCCAGACAATGACGTCGAAATCATTTATCGAATTCACCCCTAATCTCCCACTTTTTTTTCGTTTTCACCTCCTTAAAACAGTTGAGGCTTTAGCTATTCATGAACTGAAACTCGATCAGTGTATACATAAGGAAGTAGGCATAGTCACTTTTTTTCACCTCACTATTATTGTTATTATAATTGACTTCGCTTTGATTAGTTTCCAGTGTTATTTCACTGAAGTGTCTGCATCTTTTGAGGAAACATCTTGACCAACTTGTCTTATTATACTGTTGCTTAATTGTTTTATACTGCATAATGAATAAAGGTGAAATAAAAATTTGGACTGTGGCTGTATTCGAACCAACGACCACCGAGTTCCCTGTCCGATGCTTTACCAACTGAGTTAGGAGATGGAGCATCGAGTCGGAAACTTGGTGGTCTCTGGTTTGAATCCAGTTGCAGTTCAAATTTTTATTTCACCTTTAATACTGCAACTCTGCCAAACCATGGCTATCTCAAATAGTCGAAATGATACCTAACTGATTTGCCGCTTTCATCAATATTTTCACCCCTTTCTGAGTTAAACATACCTTCTATGAACCATTTCATATATTACGCAATCTACTTTGTTATCATTCCTACTTCAACTGTTATCATAATCACAAACACCTATGTCATCACCTGTATTATGATCATTGTTATCATCATCATATAGTTTTTAGTTCTCCTCATGGGATATCATATCTATATATACTATTGTACAACTTGAAAATAAATTTGTTGTGGAAGAGTCTCTCCATTGAACTTCTAAATTATTCAATTATTCCCTGGGATCTTTCATTTGAAATGATCTGTGTTCCTTCATTTCCACTTTCAAATGACACACACACACACATTATTATTATTGTTATTATTATTATTTGTCCCTTGGGTTCGTAGTGGAACATCTGGCTTTAGTAGCACGTCACAATTTCACTCCCTTCTCTGCAGTTTTCTCAGCCTGGTGCCACGACTGCCCACAAGCTTTCATCTCTTCCTCATATGATCTCCTCCATGTCACCCTCAGCTCGGACGCTCAACTTGTCCTTTCCCCTTTGGATTCCACTTGAAGTCTGGTTCGTGATGTCTCCAAACCATCTTATCAGTGCATGTCCAATCCATCTCCACTTTTTTTACTTTATATTTGTTGGGTGATAGGTTCTTGGTTGGTCGATTCCCAGAGTTGCTTGTAGCTTATTCTTATTATTCTGGCCATCTGATCTTCAGTATCGAGCTAGCGTAAGTGGCAGCTGTTGATGAATATCTGTAGTTTGTTGGAAATGCTTTTGGTGACACGCCAAGTTTTTGAACTATACAGAAGCACTGACTTGACTGAATTGGTGTTGAAAACCCAGATATGGAATGGAGTAGATCTCCGCACTGATTTGTTTCAGATTAGTGAGGGCCTATCTTGCTGTCTTCTCGATCGTGTGCAGCCCGTAGTTGAAACGATGCTGCCCAGTAGTCGGGTAGGTGAAAGAGACTTTAGGTTACACACACACACATACACCAGGTAATTTTCAGTACAATCTGTTGAAACTATAGACAAATACTCAATACTTATCATTCATTACTTTGACTGAACTACTCATGTGGCAAACACCCGTAATGGAATAGTTGGATAATAATAATAATAATAATAATAATAATAATAATAATGTCATGCATATATATACGAGCGTAAAGCTTGAGAATGAATTCATTGAAAGGAGTTTTCTTCACTAAATATCTTGTTCTTTGATGTCACAATAAGAATTATGAATGTATTGAGAAAATTGAAGTATCCGATGACGATAAAGAAAGTCAATGGGTTTCTACGTTACTCTCTTAAACTTGCTTTGGTAAAATATGAAGTTAACTTTTATGAAAACTGCATTATTCATATAACCATGGTGTTTGATAAAATTCAACTTCTGTTAAATACCATTTTAATCTGTTTATTAGAAATATCACACAATGAAACAGTAGCATTTACTGGATATTAGCGGTGGTAGTAGTAGTAATACAGGTGTTATTAATAATAATTCCACTACTAATACTAATAATGATGATAGGGTTGAGAAAGAATTCAAAGCCTCTTCTATGTTACCATACAAGGAAGTCACCTCTGAAGCCTTACAAAGAATTCTTAATAAGGCTGGCTGAGATTAAAGTGGCATTTAGACCAACCAACTCACTAGAAACAAGTCTTGTAGATTAAAAGATCCTATCGATGCAATTCAGCAAAATAATCTAGTTTACCTGATCCCTTGTGATGATTGCGAGGTCAAGTATATAAGTGAAAGTAGTCGACTAGTCAGTGTCGATTAGAATAACAGAGAACAAAATCCTACACAGTAGGGTGGGATAGAGTGACAGCATTAAGAACTAACTTAATTGGGTAGAGGGAGAGACTGATAACCGAGTGAATCTTTGTTTATCGAATCAACATCAAATATACATGCAGTAATGGAAATGATTCTGCATCTGTCCCAGATATATAGGAAATTCCACTACCATTGTCATCAAAAGGGAGGAGATAGAATTAAGACTACATTAACTCTGTCTCGAAATTATGCAGTTACCTGATATGAATATGGACAATAAACTGTATCCGAAACGTTGTTATCCAGTGAATGATACTGTTTGTTCACTGTATGTGACATTACTAATAAACAGACTAAAATGGAATGACAATAGACTAAAATGTCCAAGTAATACTCTTATATTCTGTTGAATACTTTTTTCATTTTCCTTTTTTAATCAGTTAGCCAATGTTTTGTATCTAGAAGCACCAGCTGGCGTTGGATTCTCATATGCTGTTGACGGTAATATAACTACAGATGATGATTTCGTAAGTTTTGGTACCCAATTTTTTTTTTGTAAAGAAAAAATTAATTAAATAGAATGTTTCATGACTTTGGTCCTATATATTTGAGATGAAGGACAAGGATTATTTATTCTTTAAGATGTCGGTTAACATATACAAAATTATGATTCATAAAACCATGAAAAACCAACTAGATATAAGTGTCTTACGAAAATTGGGAAGATCTTTTCAATTTCTTGAATATAGTGAACTGTGTTGAACCATTTGTGTAAGTTATTGTTAAGAGATCATGTCGAACATGATGTGTATGTCAAAGATTGAAATGATTCAATTTGAATGATTTACAAAGAGAAATCAGATGAGTTTATAGTGAAAACGGACTCTATTTATGGAGTTTGCAGTAACCTTGAAAGGTGAGGAATAATCAGTACATTTAAAGAGGTATGAGCCTATCAGAACGCTAGCGGATCGTACAAAATATGATTAATGTGAGGAAAAAAGAACGCTATATAAAACACTCGAAATATACCCACACTGTAAGTATTGAAATATAAGGGATATAGGTATTCTAACAGTATGTGTATAATTGTATTAACCCTTTTTATTATTATCAGTCCCTTGGGTTCCTAATGGAACATAGGGCTTCAGTAGCACGTCACCAGTGACCTCTGTTCTCTGAGATCTCTTGAACCTGGTTCCACGACAGCCTACAAGCTCTCATTTCCTCCTCGCACCATCTCCTCCATGTCACCCTCGGACGTCCAACTCGTCGCCTCCCATGGGGATTCCACTCGAGGGCCTGACGCGTGATGTCCCCAGTCGGCTTTCTCAGTGTATGCCCAATCCATCTCCACTTCCTTCCACTGCATATTTGTTGAGCGATAGCTTCTTAGTTGGTTCGTTCCCAGAGCTCCTTGTTGCTTATTCTTTCTGGCAATCCATCTGATCTTCAGTAGCGAGCCAGCGTAAGCAGTTGTTGATGAATGTCTGTAGTTTATTGGAAATCCCTTTCGTGACGCGCCAAGTCTCTCAACCATACAAGAGCACTGACTTGACGTTGGTGTTGAAAATCAGTATCTTGTTCCGCATGCTGAGTGCAGTGCAGAAGATCTCCACACTGGTTTCAGGCTAATGAACGCCTGTCTTGCTTTTCCGATTCTGACTTTGACATCCTCGTCTGTGCCTGTGCTGCCTGTAGTTGAAACAGTGCTTCCTAGATAAGTGAAGGAGGTTACTTCCTTTAAGTTTCTCCCGTTGATGGTGACTGGAGTTTGTTGTTGTTGTTGTTGTGGTGCGGTATCTTCATGTATTAACCCTTTGAAACAGAATCATCAACACGAGTGTATAATATGAAAGGAAACAGAACCAACAATGAGTCGATAACTGAATATCCTGAGAGACGAAAAACTGCACAAAAAAAATGGATATAATAATCATTGTAGTCATTTCAGATGGAATGAAGTCGATGCGAGTTCAACTTTTTTTCGCATATTCTCTTCAGTTAATTAAAACTGATCGCTTATTTTAATGTAACATACATGTAAATCTTTAATATGGTTCATTCGAAACGATTAGGATGGTCTCGTTCTTTACCAATGTCTCACTCACGGAAACTATCTATTTTCTATGTGTTTTCGTCGCAGTTAATAATTTTCATATGAGTATCCCAAAGCATTATTTAAAGAAATTGCTTCTAAGATGTACTTTCAATGTGTTGTTCAAGTTTAACAATGATCTATATAGACAAAAGGATGGGGTTGCTCTGGTGTTACAACTTTGCTGATTGCTTTATGATGAACCTAGAGAATAGTGTAAGCCTTTGCAGGAACTGGTGCGGAATCACATTCCTGTCTACCCAAGCAAAATATTAAGCAGCATCATCCTGGAGAGAATAAAGGATACACCGGATTCAGGAAGTACGAATCATGTGCAGATCAAATTGCAACGCTTCGCATCATCATAGAACAGAGTATAGAATGGCAGTCAACTCAACACCTCAACTTCATCGACATTTAAAAGGCCTTCGACAATGTCTACCGAGAAGTAATTTGGAAACTGCTTCAATACTACGAATACCACAAAACTTATCAGCCTAATTCAACAACTATATGAAGACGCCACATGTCAAGTAATTCACAATGGGAAGCTCAGTAATTCTTTTGAAGTGAAGACAGAGTGAAACAAAGTTGCCTACTATTACCCATGGTATTCCTGATTGTAGTGAACTGGATCATGCAACAAACAGTGGGGAGCGAGAAGAGGGGGATACTCTGGACTGAGGAAAAGAACCTAGAAGACTTGGATTTCACCGATGACTTGTGTCTGATGTCACACAAACTGGAAGATCTAAAGGCGAAAACTAACAAGTTGACAGAAGAGGCAGGACAGGGCAGCGAAGATGGGACTTCAAGTGAATATAGAGCGGACAGAGGTGATGAAGATTCCCAACCAACAACACAACAAGCTCCAAACACCATCAATGGGAAAAAGCTCAAGGAAGTAGCCTCCTTCACCTACCTAGGCAGAGCAGCACTGTTTCAACTACAGACAGAACAGGCATAGACGACGACGTCACAGCAGACAGCATCAGAAAGACAGCAAGATAGGTGTTCATTAACTTGAAATCAGTGTGGAGATCCACTGCACTGCACTGCACTCCACTCAGCATAAAGTGTGAACAACATCTGGATTTTCAACACCAATTCAGTCAAGTCAGTCAGTGCTGCTATGTGGTGGTTGAGAGACTTTGCACGTTACGAAAAGCATTTCCGACAAACTACAGACACTCATGGACAACTGCCTACTCTGTCTGGATACTGAAGATCAGATGGTGAGAATAATGAGAATAAGTAGCAAGGAACTCTGGCATTGAACCAACGAAGCCAGAACCTATCGCTGACTAAATGTGTTGAAGAAAGTGTTAGTGGAGATGGATTGGGTATACACTGAGAAGGTCGACTGGGGACATGATGCGCCGTGCCAGGCCGTAGAGTGGAACCGAGATGTGAAGTGACGAGTTGGGCGTCCGAGGTGAGGGTGAGATAGAGGAGATCGTGTGAGTTGGAAATGCGAGATTCTATGCTGTTTTTGAGTCAGTTTCGAAAGATTTCAGAAAAGAGAGGTGATCGGAGACGTGCTGCTGAAGTGGTATGTTCCATTAGGAACCCAAGGGACAAATAATATTAATAATAATAATAATAATAATAATAATAATAATAGAGAATATTGTGCTCTACCTCATAATTGATAGTTTGTACCTATATAAAAGATATATGGATGACACATTCATCATGTGATCAAAATCCAGATATTGGGACTGTAGTTAAAAAGTTCAATGGTTATCACCCATCGACCAACTTCATATCAAAATTTCAAGAGAACTCAGAATTCCATTTTCTCGATGTTTGATTGAAACGGAGACTAGATGGCTGGTTCTCTTCACCGATCAATTTATAGGAGGCTTACATAAATGAACAATACTTGAATTTCCATAGCTTTGGGTGCGTCTTAACAGAAATGGATACACATCCAGATTTATTGATAAGAACTTGAAAACAAATCAGAATACGGATCGAGTACTCATAGTTCCTAAGAACACCTTGTTTATGAAAGTTGGTCTCAAAGGCGATTTGGTAGCAGAGATCCTGAGGGGTCAGCTGTCCAGATCACTGAAGAAGACATTCTTCTCTGAGAAGCTTGTGACCAACTTCTCTACTCAGCAACTGACTCCTAAGTGCGTCAAGGACAAGTTGCCTCTTTAGGCCACTTCAATGTATGTGTACAAATTTTCTTGCTCCTGTGCAGCCTTTTATATAGACTGCACAAAACGCACTCTTTCCAAACGTATCTCTCAGCACTATTCTGCATAGTTGTTGAAGGGAGAACAGTAAATCAATTAACAATTCCATTCCTGAACATTTGGTTAACTCTGGACATATGGAGCTCCACCAGAGTCCTCATTTAGTGTCATTTGTCGTGTCAAATGAAATAGTTCAAAAGGAGTATTCCTTTGACAGTTGTATACCATTGCAGAAGCACTGGTAATTCATCAATTCAAACCTGATCTCTGTGTGCAAAGGAAGTATGTTTAGTCTCTCATCTTACCATAGTCTTAACACTTTCACAATCTTGTTTCCATTTCATTATAATTAGTTAGTTTACTGTTATTATCACCCTCATTATGACCCTTGTCTCATTCTTCACCTTCATCCATCTATCTGTCAAGTGGACGTTCAATATTTGATTTTCTTATCTACCAACAGTTTCTACCTTTTCAAACTTCTTGCATTCCTCATTATTTCTACTATCTGAAGGATTATTACGCAACTACTTTTCATTCTTCATTCCGGTTTCTTTTAGCACTAGGTTAATGATTCAATTATACTCTATTGTTTAGTAATAGGTCGTTATATGTTTATGATATATATATATATATAAATACGACTGTACATGTATAGAAAATGATATTGTAGAAAAACGAGAATGTTTCTTCGTTGAATTATCTCTTGTTTTCTCGATTAGGATATCTTTTTTGGTAATGTAGGTGGACCGGTGTGTTGCGAATTAGTTCCAATACAGTTTGAAAAAAGGACATTTTCAGGTTGATCATTTAAAAGCTTCCTTATTCTCATTTAAAAACCAAAAGAAATATTTGTAAAACTTAAAGAGAAACTAGAAATTTGATTCAGATTGAAATTTTCTGGCAGTTAGAAACTAGTATCGTTGGTGATGAAAGTACAACTTACTAATTATATATTGATGATGGGTAGTGACTAGCATTGGAATTCAGGACGTGAGTTTCGTACTATTTCGCACTTACTGGTCTGCTGGATGTACCTGCCTCTCAGTGAGGGATATGTTTCCCACTAGGACTCGAACCTGGGGCCGGTAGCTTCAAACATCACAACGTTACTCGCTAAACTACGGAGTCAGAATGGCCAGTTCTTGTGTTATAGGTATAGTTTTAATGCTGTTCCTTGTATTATCTCGTCGTTTATTGAACCGAATTGACCAGTCTGTATTGGGATATAGGCAACTGCATGAATGCCTCCATATTGCCTGTGTTTCAGCTATGTATTAATGATGAATATGCTCGTTGAACAAGAGGTGGTTATCATGACTCAGTAATCTAATAAAGCGATCGCTTTCTAGTTCAGATCTTAGTGGGGACAATATCATTAACTGGGAGGCAGGTACATCCAGCTGAGTAGTGAGTGCCAAACAGGACGAAACGCACGTACTGGATTCCACTGCTAGCCACTATCCATCGTTAATATGTTTAATTAAAACACAGGAAATATAGAGGTCTCTGCTCAGGAACCCAAATGCCAATACAGACCGATCAATTCAGTCTACTCAATGACAGGATAATACAAGCAACAACACTACTACTTAGTGAATTTATAGTAGCTTACAAGATTACTAGGAATCAGATAGCTAGGATAGAAGTCTGAATTGAATCAGAAAAGGAAGAAGCCGAAGAATAACTCTGTAATGTCCTGTCACCAAACAATTAAGGGAACTATTTACTGACTATATCTCTCAAGCGTATTATTTTTTAGCTTCCGTAAGTTTCATCTGCTCAATATCAGTTTCTCTTCTTTTCTAATTAAAATGTACTTATCTACTGAAATAAAGTAGTTAAGTGTTTCATACATATATAATTTCCGATTACTAGGTAGTATTCATCACAGAGTGACATCAATTGGATAACCATTGAAAACCTGGGAGCACTGGACAGCCGTTTCTTCCTACTACTCATTCAGTACTCTGCGGTTTTCAACGTCTCTCCAACTGATGTCAGTTCATGATGAATACTACCTTAAAACTAAAATCCCCATTTACCTCAAAATAGATTATTGTATAATACTCACTAATGACATGCTTCCAGTTGGATATCCTGAAGCTATAATGAGAAGTTGTGACATGTGGAGTCAACCAGCTGGAAGAGAAACTGATACCAATTGAAGACTTTGAGTGATATTTGCTCTGTGGCTGGAAACTGTGAAACATTGAACTGTAACCCAGTAGTTGAATGGTTAACACATTCGCCACGAAACCTTGAGTACCCTCAGTACGATCCGTAACCGGATCATGAGTGCGTACTACTGAGGAGCCCCATACTGTGGTTAAACAACTATCCAATGCTCCCTGATTTTCAAATGCTTCTCTAACTGATATCAGTTCGTGATGAAAACTACCCCTCAAATTTAAAATCCTCATTTACCTCAAAATACGTTATTGTTATTATTATAACGTGTTCTTTTTTGTGTTAATTGTAGACAGCGTTGAACAATTATCATGCATTATTACATTTTCTTGAAAGATTCCCAGAGTATGAAAACAGAGATTTTTATATAACCGGTGAAAGTTATGCTGGTGTATATGTTCCTACTTTAGCTTTACATCTGATTAACTCAACAAAACTTCATTTAAAGGTAAGCGATAAATTTCTCTTTTTTTTTTCATAAATTTATTTTTACTTATCATTTGTTTGATAAAACTAAGCCTAATGTGGTAAACAGGCCTTTGACAGCGTCGACCGAGAAGTAATTTGGAAACTGCTTCAATACTACGGAGTACCTCAAACCTTTATCCGCCTCATTCAACAACTATATGAAGATGCCACATGCCAAGTAATTCACAATGGGAAGCTCAGTGACGCTTTTGAAGTGAAGACAGGAGTGAAACAAGGTTGCCTACTGTCCCCCATGATGTTCCTGATTGTGGTGGACTGGATCATGCAGCAAACAGTGGGCAGCGAGAAGAGGGGGATACTCTGGACTACGGAAAAGAACCTTGAAGACTTGGATTTCGCCGATGACTTGTGCCTAATGTCACATAAACTTGAAGATCTGCAGGCAAAAACTAACAGGTTGATAGAAGAGGCAGCGAAGACGGGACTTCAGGTGAATATAGAGAAGACAGAAATGATGAAGATACCGCACCACCACCATCAACAACAACAACAAACTCCAGTCACCATCAACGGGAGAAACTTAAAGGAAGTAACCTCCTTCACCTATCTAGGAAGCACTGTTTCAACTACAGGCAGTGCAGGCACAGACGAGGATGTCAAAGTCAGAATCGGAAAAGCAAGACAGGCGTTCATTAGCCTGAAACCAGTGTGGAGATCTTCTGCACTGCACTCAGCATGCGGAACAATATCCGGATTTTCAACACCAACGTCAAGTCAGTGCTTCTATGTTGTGGTTGAGAGACTTGGCGCGTCACGAAAGGGATTTCCAATAAACTACAGACATTCATCAACAACTGCTTACGCTGGCTCGCTACTGAAGATCAGATGGATTGCCAGAAAGAATAAGCAACAAGGAACTCTGGGAACGAACCAACCAAGAACCTATCACGCAACAAATATGCAGGAAGAAGTGGAGATGGATTGGCCATGCACTTAGAAGGCCGACTGAGGACATCACGCGTCAGGCCAGTTGCTCGAGTGGAATCCCCATGGGAAGCGAGGAGTTGGACGTCCGAGGGTGACATGGAGGAGATCGTGTGAGGAGGAAATGGGAGGTTGTGGACTGTCGTGGAACCAGGTTCAAAAGATCTCAGAGAACAGAGGTCACTGGAGGCGTGCTACTGAAGCCCTATGTTCCACTAGGAACCCAAGGGACTAATAAAAAAAATAATGTGGTAAACATTTAACTATCAGACTAGATAGCACTACCAGTATATCCATGGAAATACTTGTCTGTAGGATCTTGACACAACCACTTCAATGTTTATCAATACAATTTTGACTGAAGTTCATATTGTAGATCCTTGTATCTACCTACAAACTACTATATCTCAATATATTCCTCTTCTAAATGAATGGATTCCTGTAAGTTCCAAGCACAATGTGGAGTAAATTAACTCAAACGTAGATTGACAAAAAGCCAATGCAATGACCATGAATAGCTTTGGACAGCGAAGGCTAAATAGGTGGAGAAGGTAGTGGGGATATGTAACACTGAACAATCATTTAGGCTTATTAAGGGTAATAAAGTCAGTGGTTAGTGAAACTATAACAGAGAAAGCGGGAAGAAACAGTTCATCTGGCTTCAGCTAATATTTCATAACCCGGTATCTGGTCGGATTTTTGGCGAAGCATTCATATAGGAATTAGAGAAGTCAGGGGAGCTGTAATCAGTCTGAAACACATCAGAATAACAACATCATAGCATCAAAAGTATTTACAAGTGGTTGTTATGGATTATTGGTCAAAATAAACAATCAATCAATCATCATCAACATAGGACCAGGCATTACTGTGTAACGGTTCGAGTTGCCACACCTCAAGTAGAAAGGTAGTGAGGTGAAGGATGAAGATAAGTGAGTGCAGTCAAAAGAACTATAAAGTACGAGAAGAAAGAAAGAGGAGCGACAAAATGGTGAGATTCGGTATAGTGTAGTTAAGATGAGGATAATGTGTGTGAGGTTACATCTGTGCCACTGACATCGGTTCTGAGCCATTTCACCTAGAGTCAGTCTCCAACCACTCGTTCCTCTTGTCCCGCGGACCCCAACCACAAAATAAACGGTATTAACTGGTGTGTACTAGTCGAATATGATCCCATCCGACTAGTTTCAATCACTGAATGTTCAATTCTACAAAAATAGTGAGAAATCTGCAGAGAAATTATTGTGGTCAACACACTTTCTTAGATTCTAGACTCAAAAATCATAATTCGTCTAAGCGGAACTCGGGGAGAACGAACTCAAAGAAACTTTGTAGAGGTTTTAGATTTGATCATTCATTTTATGACCAAATATTCACTCCTAGCCAGGTTCTGGAACATAAAGACAATTGTCGATGCCTGACATACCTATATTTCTTGATTTGAACGTGGCATCCGACTCCTTTGGTCGACGGGTATTATTCCAGTGCCTGTCACTGAAAGGAGTACTTGTTAAGTGTATCATTCATGAAGGCTCAATATTCAAATATCCGTGGAAATGTTACAGCCTATTACTGAGCTATCAGGTGATTTCGATGATGTTGTGCTCTTAGAGCTGAATGCTTTAATCGTGAACCTTTCATTGTCATTCCAGACAATATCATCAGCATAAACTTCAGAAAGAAGTTAGCTATAGGGTTTTCTCCACAAGCTGCTGAGTAGCTTGTCTTGATAACCTTGTGTGGGATTGGCTGTTTTTGCCAAGGTCGTGTCGCTGTCTCCATATTTCATTTCTCTTGGCTTTCATGCTGACGTAAACTTTGACCTCTTCTGATTGGTTGGTAGATTGGCCTGATTCTAATGAGTGTTAATCGCTGACTGACATGAATATCAAATTTCTTAAAATTCTTTAGCATTCTTTGTATTTCCTTTATCCATCCAGGATTTCTACATTTTCCCAGTCAAATTCATATCCACAGTTGTCTATATGTATCAATATGAGTGCAGATGTGTCATGACGATTCACTATTAGTTGATGTTTATGTAGACAGATGCAAGAAGACGGGTGACCATGCCATGCGATGTGATTTTTGTCAAAGTTTCTACAGTCTGTTTTTAGATCATGTTTGATTTGTCATCCTTTGCCATTGGATCTTTTAGTGAAGAGATTTTGTGAGATACTTTGATTTCAATAGACCTCGACAATCTAGTCTTGATCTTGAAGACGTTGTTCATGTTGACTATTACAATCCGTTTGCAAGTTTACCAGGTTGAATTCTTGGTTGATAACTAATTATGTACAGATCTTTTGATGAAGTTATGTGGATAGCCGTTCTTCTAGAAAACAGTTATTAAAAAGTTTTCTTCTTTTCTCTTCAAACTTGATGTACTACAGCGTGAGTTATATACGTTGAGTGATTTCCATGGACGCAGTTATTGAGGTCTCCGTTTCGTCGTTTGACTTTGTCAACGAAGGACTTCCCCAAGTGGATCTACAGATAGGTAGACAAGATCAAAACAGTATCATGTATTACTGTGTAGGAGCATTTTCTTACTCTTCTTTTCCCTCTTTTTCACTACCTCCTACTTCTTTCGACCAATTCCTTTTCATTTAGTTATCTTTTATCTTAATGCTCTTTCAGCTGGTGTACTGATATAAGGAGTGACAATTAAGACCTTTATGCGGCAATTTCTAGACACTTTACTGATGTTGGTTGAGATACTTGGCGCGTTACATAAAGCATTTCCAACAAATTACAGATATGCATCACATGAACAGCTGTCGACTACACTCACTCGATACTGAAGATGGAGATCAGATGGCCAGAATGATAAGAATAAGCAACAAGGAACTCTGACTTACTGGCAACGAACCAATGAAGCAAGAAGCTATCACCCAACAAATATGAAGTAAGAGGAAGTGGAGATGGATTTGATTAGACCTAGACTGAGAAGATGGTTTGGAAGCATCACGCGTCAGGTGACGCTGGCTGTCGAGTGGAATCCGATTGGGAAACGAGGAGGTGGGCTTCCGAGCCGATGGTGACATGGAGGAGATGGTGTGTGTGTGTGTGTGTGGTGTGGAAGAAATGAAAGGTTGTCGGCGGTGGTGGAGCCAGGTTGAAGAGAACGACTGGGTAGAAAAGAGTGAAATGGCGATATGCGACATCAATATCAACATAGGACCAGGCATTACTGTGTAACGGTTCGAGTTGCCATACCTCAAGTAGAAAGGTAGTGAGGTGAAGGACGAAGATAAGAAAATTCAATCAAAAGAAATATAAAGTATAAGAAGAAAGAAAGCAAGAATGACACAGTGGTGAGATTCGGTATAGCGTTGTTAAGATGAGGATAATGTGTGTGAGGATACATCTGTGCCACTGACATCCGTTCTCAGCCATATCACCTAGAATCAGTCTCCAACCACTCGTTCCTCTTGTCCCGTGGATCTCAACCACATAGTCTGCATTGCCCCACATGGCTCAAACCAACAGTCAGAGACTTCATACATTGATGCCATGTTTAAGTCTAGCCACCTCGAGCCTTTTTCCAATCTGGACCTACTTCGACCAGCATTGTGTGATGAGGCAATCGGTGACTAGGCATAACTAACACCAGTCTCAACCATCTCCATCGATGTAAGTTCATAACGATGTAAAACTGACTTATCTCTTCTCCCTAGAACTCTATGCCTGACTATTGCGTTACTCACGTGGTGACACCACGTAATACGGCCTATACTAGGAAGGCAATGGTGGTCAAACACCTGAAGCCTTCTCATGTCTTCCACCTTCAATAGCCATGTTTCACAGCCACAGAGTAGAACAGACCTGACTACTGTGCAGTCTACGTTTGCCTTAATAGACAAACAGATAGCGCGGTGGATCCCATGGGTGACGTAAATTGGTGAAAGCCAACATAGACTTTTGTATCTTTGCAGAGATTTCATCGGCAACTAACCTACCAGGGTTGATCCTACCATGTTAGTATCCAGGTAAGTGAAGTGGTGAACACACTCAACCACTTCCCTTTCTATTGTTAGCCGTGACACCTCTGTAGACCAATGGCGATATGCTACTGAAACCGTATATTCCACTTGGAACCCAAGGACAAATTATTATTATTATTAGTCCCTTGGGTTCCTAGTGGAACATAGGGCTCCAGTGACCTCTGTTCTCTGAGATCTTTTGAACCTGGTTCCACGACAGCCCACAAGCTCTCATTTCTTCCTCGCACCATCTCCTCCATGTCACCCTCGGAACCGACGCCCAACTCGTCGCTTCCCATAGGGATTCCACTCGAGCAACTGGCCTGACGCGTGATGTCCTCAGTCGGTCTTCTCAGTGCATGGCCAATCCACCTCCACTTCCTCCTGCATATTTGTTGCGTGATAGGTTCTTGGTTGGTTCGTTCCCAGAGTTCCTTGTTGCTTATTCTTTCTGGTCATCTGATCTTCAGTAGCGAGCCAGCGTAGGTGGCAGTTGTTGATGAATGTCTTTAGTTTATTGGAAATCCCTTTCGTGACGCACCAAGTCTCTGAACCCTACAGCAAGGGACAAATAATAATGAATAAATGCTAATGTTTTTTATGAATAATTGTCTGCATAATTTTATTAAGATTTTCTGTCATTTTGATTTTCTATTTTGTACACATTTTAGGGTATCGCTGTTGGCAATGCCTTAACTAATTATAGACTCAATGATAACTCCATGTTATATTTTGCTAAATATCATGGATTAGTTGGCGAAAAGTAAGTTTAAATAAGTGATCAAACAGTTATATTATATTCTAGACATCCTATTTTATCGTTAAACTTTTTTTTATTCTATCATAGAAGACTAAACATGAAGAGGAGAAACTTAGTGAACATGGATGATGATTTTCCAAAATAACCAATGAAAGAATTTTATGGCCTTTTATTGAATAGCGTAGTCTTTTCTCAGTCGAAAGATGTATTTTTAGGCTTTATAGGAGAAGAAAACAGCTGCTTAATACAAAAGAATAGTAGACATATTACATCAGTTATGAAATATAGCGTATTTCGATAACTGTGAACAACTGGTTAACATCAATATGAGTAAAACTTGTGCACTAATCACCATCAACTGAGAAATCTAAACGAAGATGTCTCCTTCACATACCCTCACCCAAATAGCATCGTTTCAACTACAGGTGCTACAGGAACAGATGAAGATGTCAAAGACAGGATTGGAAAGATCGAAAGACAGGCCTTCCTTCATTAATGTGAAATAATCAGTGTGGAGATCTACTGCACTCGCTATATGGAACAAGATCCTTATTTTCAACACTAACGTCAAGTCATCACACGCCAGGTCAGGCCAGGTCGTCGAGTGGAATCCAAATGGGAAAAGGAGGAGGTGGGCGTCCGAGTTGAGGGTGACATGGAGGAGATGGTGTGTGTGTGAGGAAGAATGAAAGGTTGTGGGCGGTGGTATAGGCAGGTTGAAGACGAAGACTGCGTAGAGGAGAGTGAATTGGCGGTATGCTACTGAGGCCGTATGGTCCCCTAGGAACCCAAGGAGCAGATAATAATCTATGTAATAATATACAATTTCATGGTGTCAGTGAAGAAATTATGCCAACATATCCCCATAAACTTCACTTGCTACATACTCCACATGGTCATTCACCAGTGATTATATACCTAACTACAACATTAGTTGATGCGAGTTTGAATATAAGATGGTAAATCAATTCCCTGAAGTATGCAGATACGCCTTGTTGATGTGTGTCAAGAAGCACAAAGTTTAAGTCCATAACTTCCTTCCAGTCACCTCCAGCCAACTAACATCTATCAAATTGCATTGTGATGATGAGCTTCTAATCTCGATGTTGGTCACATTGTACAATGAACCATGGTTAAACGGTATTAAATTGATTGTTTTCCTGTGACCAAACACAAAGTAATCACCAATGTATTAAGAATTATATTTTATCTATATGCAAAGAAGTACGTTTTTTCTTAAAGAGAAAAACTCATTTAAGGAAAACTAACCAATTGTTGTTGCTTTTTTTGTATTCAGAGTATGGAATGATTTACTTGCTCATTGTTGTCATAGTCCATACTACAGTCAATGTATGTTCACTGATAATCCTTCAGATAAATGTCAACGTTTAGTAAGTCACACTTTATATTAATCTTAAACTGTTTTGTTGATTTTCCACTGTTGATTAGCTCCATACTAGGGAAAAATAGCTGTCGAGTGTGTTTCCAGGGTTTTCAGTATCCCTCTCCACCGGATGTTTGTCGGCAATGAATATCTAAGTAATAAGCAGTAAATCCTGATAAACTTTTAAAGCTGAAAATCTGAAAATTTTACTTGTAAATGAATCAACACATTCCTTTTGGGCATCATAACATAAACAAGAATAGTCGACACTTTGTGTTGACAGAAGAGGCAGGACAGGGCAGCGAAGATGGGACTTCAAGTGAATATAGAGAAGATAAAGGTGATGAAGATACCCAACCAACAACAACAAGCTCCAATCACCATCAACGGGAGAAAGTTCAAGGAAGTAGCCTCCTTCACCTACCTAGGCAGAGCAGCACTGTTTCAACTACAGACAGCACAGGCACAGACGACGACGTCACAGCAGACAGCATCAGAAAGACAGCAAGACAAGTGTTCAGTAACCTGAAATCAGTGTGGAGATCTACTGCACTGCACTGCACTGCACTCCACTGCACTCCACTCCACTCCACTCCACTCCACTCCACTCAGCATAAAGTGTGAACAACATCTGGATTTTCAACACCAATTCAGTCAAGTCAGTCAGTGTTGCTATGTGGTGGTTGAGAGACTTTGCACGTTACGAAAAGCATTTCCGACAAACTACAGATACTCACCAACAACTGCCTACTCTGTCTGGATACTGAAGATCAGATGGTGAGAATAATGAGAATAAGTAACAAGGAACTCTGGCATTGAACCAGCGAAGCCAGAACCTATCGCTGACTAAATGTGTTGAAGAAAGTGTTAGTGGAGATGGATTGGGTATACACTGAGGAGGTCGACTGGGGACATGATGCACCTTGCCAGGCCGTAGAGTGGAACGGAGATGTGAAGTGACGAGTTGGGCGTCCGAGGTGAGGGTGAGATAGAGGAGATCGTGTGAGTTGGAAATGCGAGATTCTATGCTGTTTTTGAGTCAGTTTCGAAAGATTTCAGAAAAGAGAGGTGATCGGAGACGTGCTGCTGAAGTGGTATGTTCCATTAGGAACGCAAGGGACAAATAATAATATGTTCCTATGAATATATGTATTTCTTTACTTATATATAACTGTTTTTACCGACTGATTTGTTTGTACTTTTTTCGGCTTTCCGATACTGTTAGAATATAGTTCTTGGTAATGCTCTACGACGAATTGCAGTGGGCGTTGCTGATAAGAATGGATATAAGTAGTATATTTTGAGGGAGTTGTAGAGATTTGGAAATATTTCAAGTTGTTATTCATCGTAGACTGACATCAGTTAGAGTAACAAAGGAAACCTGGGAGCCCTGGACAGCTGTTTCGTCCTAGTGTGGGACTCCTCAGCAGGGCGCACCCACTACCCCGCCAGGCAATGAACCCGTGAATAACAACTTGAAATATTTCCAAATCTCCACGACTCCTTCAAATTTCAATTGAACTGGTGCTCATTGGTGACTAGCTTCGAGAGGTATTCCAGAAGTTCCAATGAGAAATTGTGACCGGTGGGGGCAAAGTCTGATGGTCGTAAAGATAGTTACACAACGATGACATTGGGTGGCGGTTGAGCTATATCGTGAGCTAACAGAAGTTGGAAATATAGACAACTGGATTCCGCGGAGGCAGTGGCTCAGTGGTAACGTTCCGGCCATGGGACCTGAGGATCGCCAGTTCGATCCCTGGCGAGGTCATGGGTGCGCAGTGCTGAGGAGTCCCGTATTAGGACGAAACAGTTGTCCAGTGCTCCCAGGTTTCCTTTGTCCTTCCAACTGATGTCAGTCTACGATGAATAACAACTTGAAATAAGTAGTATATGTTAAGAGGGTGGCAGAAATCACAGGGAACTACTAGCAATGGGTAAAGATTCTGTACAGCGAAACACAGGAAACAGTATGGGCGTATTAAGAGCAAATCAAGATAGAAGCAGAAAAGGAAACGAAGCACCTTCTGTCAATGACCGCCTTAGTGGAAGGTTTACAATATTTGATGACTACTTTACAAGATGTCAATAATAAATATTCTTTCCTAAGTCTCAGTCTTTTCGTTTCAACAATTGATGTCGCTGCTTCTGGGTGTGATGAAGATCCCGTGATCTATCATGTTCGAGGATGAAAGCATCAAACTCTTCCTCAGGGAGCTGGTGGGTGTCCGGGATCCAGGAGCGAAGATTGTGATGCGTGGCACGTTGCTGAGGGGCAGAGCGAAAGCGGTATATGACGGCGTGGAAAGTGGGACGGTGAGGAGACTTGGAAGAAAATGGTTGAACGACTGAAGGCGGAGTTTGACAGCCGAGCAGACAGGCAGCTGGAGATGCAGCAGTTCTAGAGCACGAAACTTAGAATAGACGAAGATCCGCTGATATTGGCTGAGAAGTTGACAAAACTACTTCGACGAGCACTTCCGACTTTGGATGAGGACTCCCAGGAACAGTTGCTGGCTGCACAGTTCACTAAAAGTGTCCGAAATGTCATCGTTCAGCAGGTACGACTAGTGAGCGCAGCCCATGGATATTGGTCAGCTGGCGAAGGTGACCAGATAGCAGATGAGTACTGAAGTAGCTGCAGAGGAGTCACCAGAAGTAAATATTGTACACTTCTCACTAAGACAGTCATCTACACAATGTCCTTCATTTCCTCCTCTGCTTCTATCTTGATTTTCTCTGAATACTCCCACATTGTCTCTTGCGTTTCTCTGAACAGAATCTTTACCCATTTCTAGTAACTTCGTATGATTTCTACCGTCCTCTCAGCATATACTACTTATATCCAGTCTTATCAGCGGCGCCCACTACAGAAGTATACGTGATGATAAAGTGTAAACACATCAGTTCATACTTTGATTACAAAGTAGCGTAGATTCTTCCTCAGGTTTTAGTAGATTGTATCCTATTCTTAATGTATATACCAAATCAACCTCACCTCGTTAACTGGTTACTAGTCGGTCATAAGCCCGGGTAAAGAGGAAAGGTTGGCCATAAAGCTAGCAACCCTACCCCGTAAAACCGATCCAATCGCTAAAGAAACTTCAAAGCACGAAGAAAATATAAAACATAAAAACCTACCAAGGCTGTCCGGATTGCGAAGGAGATGAGGAGATATGGCATGGAAAAGCTTGGAATCTGCGAAAGCAGATGGAATGGAAGTGGACTCTCCAAACTGTCAACTGGAGAGTCAATAATCTATTCCGGTCACCCAGACGACAACTATGAGCACACTGAGTTTTCGAGCAGCTATCATCAAGTCCCCAACACCATCGAAGGCTCTCTCTCTGATGCATTAGAATCCAGTCTCCCCCTGCAGGATCACCATCATGATAGCAAGATTCAACTCAAAAGGAGGGAAAGTCACAATCATTCGATGCAACGCTACGCACCTACAAATAATGCAGATGAAGAAAGGAAGGAGAAAATCTACAGAAAACTGCAATCAACACTGGACAAGACCTCAGTTTGCTACATCAAAATTCAAATGGGTGGGATGACATGAATGCCAAACTGGGAGCGGACAACTAAGGAAGAGAGCTAACCATGGGTCAAGAAGCGCTCGGTGAAATGAACAAGAATAGAGAATTGTTTGCAGAATTCTATGGATTCAAGGATTTGGTGATTGGGGGCAGTGTGTACAAACACAAGGATATTCACAAGGCAGCGACATGGATTTGATTTCACCAGATAGACACACTACACTAAAAATCAGATCGACTTCATTTGAATGTGAAGAAAGTGGAGACTCAGCTAACTGGACACAAGATGAGATCAAGAAGAGGAGCAGATGTAGGTTCATATCACACACTACCTAGTGCAAGGAATCTACCTTCAAAGAAGTTGGTGATAGACCACAGTTCAAGTTCAACATTTAGAACAGAAACTGAACTGAAGGACGAAACTACAAAGAACATCTTCACATTGTGAGCCATCAGGAAGAAATAGGAGACACTAAGCAACATCCCTGAAGAAACCTATGTGGAAGAACCCTGGAACCATTTGAAAGCTATGCGGAAAGAAACCTGTATTAGGAAGGAAGGGGAAACAAGACAAGGAATGGTTCTCGATGGACATATGGAAGCTGGTAGAGGAGGGAGAGGAAGATGGTGAGGCAGAAGATGAACCAGTGCAAGGATGCACAACAAATTTAGGAACTGAGCACAACGTATAAAACACTGGACAAAGAGGTGAAGATGAGTGCACAGTAAGAAGTTTTTTTACACCTTTAGCAATGTAACCTGATGTCATGTAGTTGGTAGCAAAGATAATATGAAAGCATCACTACATAAAGTCTTTGACTGTTGGTTTGAGCTATGTGGGGCGATGCAGACTAGCCAATTGGGGTCCACGGGACTCTAGGTGATACAGCTCAGAATCGGTATCTCTGGTCCAGATGTTTCCACACATTATTCCCATCTCATCATCCTCTCAATCTTCTTTCCTCTCTTTTATTATCTCTTACCTCTTTTGATCGATTTTTCCTTCTTCCTTCATCTTCCATATAATCTCCTTATTATTTCACATGGTGTGGGGGGCAACTTGGACTGTTGTGCAATAATCCCTGGTCTTATGTTAATATTGGTGATGATGGAACTGAAATTGTTTGCTTTTGTATGATACAATGGCTGTTAACTAACTGAAATCACACTTGCTTATACAGAGGAAGATGGATATCAGTCTTTCTCTACAGTGTGGAATCTATTTAAAACTTGTTTGTTTAAAGATGTCAGTCTACTGAAACAGATTACTTTCTTTTATAACCTGTATCTAACCACACATCTAGCCGGTCTAATTTTTATGCATCCTATTCTCCTAAGTTGCTATACACTGTCATCACAATGTCCATATAACTCATTAGTCATTGATAATCTATTCACGAAAAATCTTCCTCAATATTCCACTTGTGCAAGTGGACATTACTACAATGTTTAGGCCCAGTTACTC